ACCAAATTTGAGTGAAGCGCAAACTTTTCAACTGCTTAAGGAGGGGGTCTATACCTGAAGGCTATGTCGCTTATTTGTGGATCAAATTTTATCAAATGTTTCCAAATTTTACACATATAACAAGCAATGTGAAGAGCCTTCAAACCTGCAATCAAATTTTAGACAAAACTTTCGTTGCCATGGACACAACAGCCATATTGGATTTTGTTCAAGTGCCTAATAAAGTTAATACCTCAGTTATTGTCAAGGTAATAAGTTGTTATTTTTCACGTTTGCTAGCAGACAATGGTTATACACAATAAGTAAATGAATATTTTTCCTTTTTTTTCTTGGGGCAATAATTAATGTTGCAGACAAAAATGAAGAAAGTCCATACTCTAGACACCACCAACAAAAATCTTTTCCGTTTACTAAAAATTTTACAGTCTTTTTCTTTTTACATCTTTTCTTTTTTCTATGACAATTTCATGAAGATTGGATAAAAAATGGTGGAGTTATTCAAAAGCGCTATTAGTATATAGAAAAAAAAACGCGTTTTGATAAGGCCTCAGATAGGGGAAAAATAAAGATTGACTTAATGAGGATATGGTAGAGACGATAAAAATAAGACTTAAGTGGGTTCTTATACGATAAATTAGTTGTAAGCGATGCTTAAAAAGCTAAAAATGTCTACATCACGAAATCCATAATCTTGACACGAATCGGAACTATCAGAATGTACCCCCTTAAATTGAATCATAATATGTTTTGGCTCATTGAAAAGTGTTTTCAAAATATAAAAATATGACATTTCTAAATAAACTGTATGCTCCGGGTGTTTACCATTTTTCTCCAAACAATCATGAATAAACCACATAAAATGTTTAATAACCTCGATACAAGTTTCTGTGTCGATTCGTTGTTCGTCCTGTTCAACATCCAGTTTCAACTCCTCGATTGTATGTGTGTTGTTTCCATATTCTCTGTTTTTCAAAACAAAATCCAGTGGAAATAATAGAGGATGTTCAATTGAGGGGAACGCGTTGACCACTCATTCGTAAGCTGACAGCTTTTTACATGTTTTTTTCCTAAACTTTTTTCTTATAACCATGCTCGGGCCACTCTTGTTGTAGTATGACCTCACCCTGCTGGAGCCACCTCAACAGTAAAATCTCGCCTCTTCTCCTCCTCAAACTTCTTCACAACTTTCTCAGCACGGCTAGATATTCATAATTTGATGTGGCAGTTTTTCTTTTGCCATCCTTGTCCTGAAACCAGAATGGGCCAATCACGCCCTAGCAGCTTAACGCTTTTATTGAAGTACAGTTGTCTGTTTTACTCATTTTTGATTGAAATATTTAAAAACTTACATTTCTTGAACATATTGATTGATTGTTCGACCGGCGTCTATGATGTAGCGGTTAGGCGCTTCGCTGTCGCAAGCAGGAAACCCGAGTCTGATTTCTAAATGTGGAGAATAATTGTTTATTGATTCCCTCGTCCTTTCTTCTTAGAAGCCCAACTCCTTAATGAACTAAATCGTGTTTTGATGGTGACGTAAAAACTCCTGAATTTTAAAGATGATGCTTTTTTTATTGTTGGATATGACGTTCATTTGTTTAAATTTTATTTGTTCGAAGGTTTGTTGAAATAGGTTCAAAGTTGACTGATTTATTGCCCTTTAAAAATAGGTTCTTTATATAGACGCCGTGTTTAAGTATTGAACTTATTATAATGACTTAAATTATAGATTGTCTGGGTGTGCTGGGATAATTTGGATGTCAAAATGGTTAGCATATTATTAAATAATTTTACTGTTAAGAAATGTACAATATTGATTGTTGTATGGTTTGTCTGCCGGGTAAGCGTTTGCCAGAGTCTTCAGAATAGTCTCTGTCATGTCTGTAGACAGAAAATGTTCAGCTTGTCAAGCAGTAGTCTGAGGCGCCATAAAAAAGTGTCTCATTTTAGACAACGCTATGTCGCAATGCAAGCTCCATAGTTCCACCGATTTTAGATCCTAGAAACCTAAAACATTACGGAATATGACCTCTTCTATGACAAATGGTGGCTGTGGTGTACTGGTTAAAATGTTTGGGCTATTCTTTTAGTACCAATACGGTAGGTTATATTCCCACAGAGGGAATGTCACTATGTCTTAAAACACCGATAATAGAGTACAGACATAAAAGTTCTACTCTTTATGTTATGGGCAGTCTTGAGCGGAAGTGGATTCTTTTATTTTCAATTAATTTGTAATTTAAAAGATTTACAACTTTTTATTAGTCAGTTCACACCAATGTGGATAAACCCGTTTCTCTTTTACGTTTAAATATCATTGCTATTTAAAAGCGAAGAATTGGGAACAGTTTGTACACTTCCGTTGTGTGAGAATTCTGTACGTTTAATGGGACATTCTAAAGAAATGCAAAAACAGCGAGTTTCTGGTCTCTTACCCGCCTGGCTGTTGTTTTTTTCTCCCAGGTGAAAGCGTACCAACGTACGTGATCGTGAATTCGAGTTACATCAAGGTTGTAAGGATTTTAAAAAGTGACACATTTTTGTCTCTTTTATAGCTTTTTATAGATTTTAATTGAATCTTAGTAGAAGTAAAAAATAAGAGTAAGCACAAAGTTGAAAATGTGTTTACTAGTTTGAAATCGTTAAGTAGTATACCAGTCCAAAGACTAGTTCTTGTAAAAAAAAAAACGGTTCCGAGAATGGTTTCCGGTACAATTACAGGTCAGGAAACTTCTCACTTTATCAAAGAGGAATGGTATTGCGAGTGAGTTGTAACACTTCTCCGTTTTCGATCAGGCTAATGGACGCTCACCCTGAATAGAGAGCACGTTTAAAAGTCTGTAGTTACGATTCATCCTTTAAGTATATAGGGCTTGATATCTTGCTTGTGTGTTTGTGTTTTTGCGTGTCGGCCTTGAAATCATGTAAGACCCTCGGAGCATTGCTCTCGGCTTCTGCCAAAGATGAGAGCTTGTTTGTGTTTTGTCAGTAATTAATTGCAAAGTGATACATCTACAGTATACCTGAAAATAAAGTAGATACTTTCAAATAGCTATATTTTCACGCAACTGAAACCGGTTCGAATAACCCAACTGCATATTATAAAAAGTAATCTAAAAACATCAAAGTAACTACCACACTCTTATAATATTATCATTGAAATGTTTGTGGGGCTATTTCTTTTAATTTTGGTTTGAGGAGGGATGGGGGTTGTTGTTGTTTTTTTTAAATCTGAAAAAGTACACCAGCTTTGCCAACACTACGACAAAATTTGATTATTAACAAAACAAACAAAAAACTCCAAAAACAGGGTTTCACTTCAGATATGTGTGGAGAGAAAACTACTGATAGAATTTTGACTAGTTCTCGGTCGAAGTAGGCTACTTTATGGAAAAATATCCATAAGACGAGTGACCGAGACAATCACACAAGTCACTTGCCAGAATGTGATAGCCAAATGCCAAACGTTTGGGCGCGGTGTTTAGTCGTGAAGGGAACAGATGTCAAGCATTAGCTACGATCGAAGAAAAAAAGTATGTTTTTATGATATACATGTACTTCTTTATTCAAACTGTTTGTTTTTGTGATGTGGTTCACTTTGCACTAGTTTATTGTGGTTAAGGTTCAGACGTTCACCTTTGACTGTTGAAATTTAACGCCTTCTCTAGCTTTTTTTGACGTGCGTTTCAGGTTAAGTTTCAGTTTTTGCTTTTTTTGTTGTTTTTTTTGCTTTAAGTGTTAAATTAACCATATCATAAACCAGGAAAATGCGTTTGATTGTGCTTTCTATAAATATCTTATATAATTATTTATCCATCGTGTTTTTGTTTTGATTGGTTGGGGTTTGGTTTTTTTGGAAGTGTTTTATGGCGCTCTCCACTGCATAAGGACATATGAACGCGCGGGACACATTTTCAGTTGGTAGGAAATTTTGAATTTTGCCCGGATGGCGGCCAAAGCCTGCTCTTATCGATTTTAGACCACCAAGGGATCTATAGCCCAAATTTTCCACTCTTTTTGGACAAGCTCACTTTGGAGACCTCTGAACTGATGACTAATGGTTCAATCAATATTAAAACTAGCTAGCTGTAAAAGTTCATGTCTTCTCTCCCTTTTGCCTTATTTAAACAAATCTGTCAATGAAGCACAGTTTTGAAACGTTTAAGAAAATAAAAGTGTCAACAACATTCAAGTTGGCCGTCGTTTCCATGGTAACCGATGAATTTATGAATTTGTTTGAAGGTGTAGATTTTCATTCCTCCACATAAGTATCATCATATTATACCAGTACGAGCTCCACAGGTTCTCTGGTTAAAAAGCTCGTTTTCAAAGTAGCGATACCCCTTATTTGTAACATGCATAATACTTTAGTAGATAGATAGATAGATGGATGGATGGATGGATAGATAGATAGGTAGATAGATAGATAGATAGATAGATAGATAGATAGATAGATAGATAGATAGATAG